AGAAAGACAGAGAACATGGGAACTCTTGAGGGATCTTTCTTTGTGCTCCATCTACCTCCAAAAGTACAAGCTATTCATAATGAATATCCACATCCTGGTCACATTCACAGTTTGCTTTTGTTTGTTTAGTTATGAAATATCATGCTTAGTATTTCAGCATGATAATAACAAAAATACTTATTAAATTCATTTTCATTTTTTATGTTTTTAATTGAAATAGAATTATATTACTTCTTGCCTCCTTTTTTCCCTCCATCCCCTCCTAGCTAACCTCTTATAAATGCCTCCCATGCCCCCCTACTCTCAAGTTGATACCTTCCTTTTTCTTTGTTTATAGTTGGTGTTTGTGTGTGTGTGTGTGTGTGTGTGTGTGTGTGTGTGTGTGTGTGTGTGAGAGAGAGAGAGAGAGAGAGAGAGAGAGAGAGAGAGAGAGAGAGAGAGAGAGGCTGTCTGATTGTCTGTCTTAAAGGAAGTTAAACCACTTGGGCTGACAATGCTGCCCACAAGACACAAGAGCAACGCACTAACAAAAATTCCAGACACAAGAAACCTTTCCAAGGGTGGGCCATGGCAGTCCACATGACGTCCAATATAATAGAGATTATCAATGCAGCCCTTGGTTGCCTCTCGGAGATTGAGGGCAGTTTACTATTCCTAAAGGTATTACATACTTAGTAGCCACAATTTGGATGACATGAGCTGGGTATGACCTGAAGCCCTTTTCATGTGGTCAAGCTTCCACAGTTCTAGAAAATACTGCGCAAGCTGCCAAAGGAGGGAAATAGGCTCTGACATCTATGAACCATGACAACTGCTAGCATGGCAAGATGTACATAAAAGCACAAGAAGTGGCACTCACAAGTAGGTAGCAACCAACTATCTAACTGAATATTCAACATAAGAAAAAATGCCTAGTACTGGAAACCTGGCTAACTTCTGGGGGCTAGTGAGGTCATGGACCTTAGAAAAGAATCTGCTGCTGCCACTTTGCTAGGCCAGCATAATCCCTTATTACATTCTTATACCCACACGTAAGTGTAGCCACCAATTTGTGGTGATATATTGTGTCCCCCAATATATTGTGCACCCTGATAAACTTATCTGGGGTCAGAGGACAGAACAGCTAGTGATAGACATAGAGGCCAGAAATGGTGGCACACATGCCTTTAATCCTAGCATTCCAGAGGCAGAGATCGTCTGGATCTCTGTGAGTTCAAAGCCACACTGGAAACAGCCAGGCATGGTAACAAGAGCCTTTAATCCCAAGAAGGAATATCAGGAAGCAGAAAAGTATTTAAGGCATGAGGACGAGGAACTAGGCCTGGTTAAGCTTTTAGGCCTTTAGCAGCAGTTCAGCTGAGATTCATTCTGGATAAGGACTCAGAAGCTTCCAGTCTGAGGAAACAGGATCAGCTGAGGAATTGGCAAGGTGAGGTGGCTGTGGCTTGTTCTGTTTCCCTGATCTTCCAGCATTCACCCCAATACCCGGCTCCAGGTTTGTTTTTATTAATAAGACCTTTTAAGATTCGTGCTACACCACTTCTCATCAAAGAAGTTTCTCTTTACATCATATGGAGACTATCACAGAAAAACACAACTGGACACAATGCTGAGATCAACGGATCATGGGTAGCCCAGCCCCAAGAGATACATTGTTTTGGTTTTTAAATGCTTGCTGAATAATTATATCACCCAAAAAGTAGCTATAGTCAACAGTAGTACATAAAATATCTCAAAACCTTTCCTGAAACTTCAGTAGTTGAAAACTGAAAAGTAAGTGATCAGTGGCGATAAGAAGAGTTACATGGTTAAAGTTGCAAAGTCAGTTTGAGGACATGACTGGCAAGTTAAAAAAAATCTCCATTTCCTATTACCTTCTTCCGTCTCTGATATTATATCATTTCATTTTCAGAGTTCACTGAATTCTGACATAAACTCATCCTTGTCCTGGGTTTTGAGGTACTGTTTTGTATACTAGAAATATAGTGATCAGTGGTATGGATCAAAATCTCTTGACAGAGTGAAGCTTATCTCTGACTGGGGCTCTAAAGTGATGCATAAAATAATGAAGGAATCCACATGTTAAAAACTTGTGTGTCACATGTGTTACAAATAGTATGAAGAAAAAATTAGGCAAGAATATTGGGTAATATCAGGGGCTTATTTTAAGTTAATCATGAAAAATAATTACAAAACTATAACTTTTTAGCAGAGAAAAAACTGTAAAGGAGAAATCATGGAGCTCTCTGATAGGTGGGTGCTATCTAGTGAAATGTTTCCATGAGGAGAGAGGAATACAAAAGTCCTAAAGTGGACTTAAGGATCAGCAAGGAAGTCAGTGGGCCTGGAAGGAAGGTATGCTATTTCTCAGAGATTCTATGACAAAATACCACAAGTTGGGTGATTTAAAGCAAATGAATTCTCTTCTCTCACATCTCCAGAGGCCAGAAGTCCCAATCAGGATGTGAACAGGCAGAACCATGCACTCCATTGTAATTTGAGGGGAGGATCTTCCCTTTGCCTCTTCTACCTTCAGGGGCTACATATATCCCGTGCCTTGTCTTTAGCCTCTAGCTTCATACCTCTGCCTCTCTTCCCTATGTCTCTTTGCCTCTCTAATCATAGAAATTCTGTGATATGCTAAGACCATTCGTATCATCTGAGATAAACTCCTCCTCTTGAGACAATAAACTATTTGAATATTTGTCATATAAACTATAGTTTCCAAATTTTCATATGGATATCTTGAAATTTATGGACTATGATAGAAAGGAAGTGAAATAATAAATGAAGTCAGAGATGTAGTCAACTCACTAGTAATAGAAGAACTTTATGCCACCACAAGTCACTGAGATGTTTAGGGTTTTTTTCTGACTAAAATTGGAAATCCTATGACATTATCTAACTTATTGCACATTTTGAGCTATTGGGTAAAATCCCTTAAGTGCAATATATGAATGGTCACAATAAGGGAAATTTTGAGCCACTTTTAGTCAACTGGCATCCCTCACTGAATTATTTCACTACAAAGAATAAATTGTTCATCCTTCACACTGCAGCCTCATTGATGTCTAAAAAAAAAAAAAAACAGTGACCATATTCAGGGACAAAACTCAGATGTAGCTACTGAACATGCATGTCTGGATCTTATTTTTCTCAAATAAAACAGTACAAATGGGATTAGAAAAGGTAAGTGTCCTACTTTCCTTTCTGTAGTTTGATAAAATGCCATGACATAATGCAACTTAGGGGAGAAAGGGTTTGTTTCAGTTAAAAGTTTTATATTACAGTCCATCATTTTAGGGAAGTCCAATCTGCAAGAACTTGAAGCAACAAGTCAAGACAGAAATGAAGCATGAGTATATGCTAGGTACTCAACTACCTTTCTCTACTCTTATACAATCCAGGACCCCAGCCTAGCAGTGGTGGTGTATGCCTTTAATCCCTGCACTCAGGAGGCAGAGACAGGCAGATCTCTGTGAGTTCAAGGCCATCCTGGTCTACAGAGCAAGTTCCAGGACAGGCAGGCTCCAAAGTTACAGAGAAACCTTGTCTTGAAAAATAAAACAACAACAAACAAACAATCCAGGGCCCCAAACCAAGGAATGGTCCCATCCACTCTCATCCTGTCTTTCCACATCAATTAAGGCAATTAAGACAATTCCCCACAGACACTCACAGGCAGACCTGATTTAGATAATCAATCCCTCATTGAGGCTCTCTTCTCAAGTTATTCTAGATTACCTAAAGTTGACAGCTATAAGTACTCATTACAGTAAAGGAATATCAAAGGAGAAAGACAAATGAGCACCGGAGGAAGTTCTCATAACAAAAATAAAATAGATTCTAGCTCAGTCCCCGCTCCCATACCATCAGTCCTAACTCTATCCATATTATATATCTACAATTAGCTGTGATTTCTGCATAATCGGTCAAGTATTCCAAACAAGAGAGAAGAAGCCATTATACTGCACAATGATAAATGCTGCTGTGGCAGAAGGGTCAGAAGATGCAAAACATCTTAATAGTCATAGTGATTGTTGTTATAGGAAATAACAATACAGTAAAACAGTGTGGTTATAATTATTGTATTCAGTGGGTAATATGAGTTTATCCCTGTTCTATATGTAAATTCATGGATCCCAATAAATGGGAGCACTAGTAAATTCATGGAACTAGGAAAAAATTGTTTGCTTCATATGAATCAATGTGGAATACTTCAAAAAGGAAAGGCATGAATAAGTAGGTATATAAATTTCAGACTATGCTGGCAATATGTATGTACTTAAATGATTACTGCTCTTTCTACTTTTACAGTCAAGTTTAGAAATAAGAGAATTATTTTAACTGTTATTGCTTTTCTCAAAGAAACCTAGAAGAAAAAAATGGCCAATGAAGAGGCTCATTGGGGATTGTACTCTTGTACTTCTCAATACATCAACAGATTTACAATTGTTAAGGAGATGAAATTATTCATTATCATAGGAGCCCTTTCAAACTTAAGTGTCCTATTCAGATTAATTTTTGTATGATACTCCTGAATATTACTTCAAGATATAGAAAGTGTGTATACCATAACTTCTCAAACCTTGAAAGCGCACTTTGCAGCTTCTGAAGAAGCCTATTATAGGGCTTTTAAAATCTTTATAGCTCTCAAGCTGTCTCCAGAGGCCCTATAATCCAAATTAGAGAAAACATCGATGATTTCATTGAAGAAAAATGACGAATACTAGAATGTTCCCAAGTTCTGGTTGCTTTGCTCACACTGTATGACTTAATGTCTCTGAGTAAAGCTCAAGGTTAGGTTTGAAGTGATAGTGAGGGGACAGCAGCATGAAAGCCAAGACTCATACAAAGACCATACGTTTCAAGAAAGAGGAAAAATGACAGTGGACTCAGTGGAATCCAATATCACAAGGACTCATCACACAGTGACAGAAGAATTAAGAATTCTTCTTAGTCAACAAAAGTCAACAGAATTCTACATAGTCCATAGAGGAGGCAAGATACAAAATGTGTTGAAGGGCCCCAGCATACTTGCTTAGCCTAACGCCATTTTTGAGCAGGGCCTGAAAAGTAACTAGAGGTCAGAAAAACAACTTGTACCCTGGATGAGAGCCAAGTCAGCAGGCGTGTCGAGCTCGGGGAAAAACCACGAGCTGTCCTGAGTTTGAACCTGGCCTCATACGAATCGTCCAATCAGAACCCTGTAAACTATGCTTCCTGCTTCTGTACCCGCCCTTCCGCTGCCCAACCCTATAAAAACCCTCCACTCCAGCCCGTGGGCGTGCCAGTCTCTTCAGCCTCTGGAGGGACTGTATCGCCCCGGGTACCCGTGTTCCTGAATAAAGCCTCTTGCTGTTTGCATCTGACTTGTGGTCTCGGTGTGATCTCTGGGCGAGGGTCTCTCCAGAGGGAAGACTCCAGTCGGGGGTCTTTCATTTGGGGGCTCGTCCGGGATTTGAGACCCCCGCCTCGGGACCACCGACCCACTGTCAGGAGGTAAGCTGGCCGGCCACTGTCTGTCTGTATTGTCTCAGTCTGTTTACTTGTCTTTCGTTTTCGTCGGATGTCCTAAGTCAGGTCTGAGTCGGTGGGGGCTGAAGGAGCTGACGAGCTCGGACTTCGCCCACCGAAACCCTGGAAGACGTTCCACGGGTATCTGAAGTCCCCTCTGGGGCACGGAAAGTCCCCTCTGGGGCACGGAAAGTCCCCTCTGGGGCACGGGAAGTCCCCTCTGGGGCACGGTTTTTCGGGGCCACCCACGCATCAGAAGGATACGTGGTACTGGCAGGGGACGGAGAATTCAAACACTCCGCGTCCCCATCTGAGTTTTTGCTTTCGGTTTTACGCCGGAGCCGCGCAGCGAAAAATTCTGTGGTCTGTCTTGCCTGTTTGTTTCTCGTTGTGTGTTTAACCCTTCTTTATTTGGAGACCACCATGGGACAGGCTGTCGCCACCCCATTGAGCCTAACCAAGGACCACTGGTCCGATGTTAAGGCCCGAGGAAACAATGAAGGTGTCATTGTCAGGAAGAAGAAATGGATCACCTTCTGCGAGGCCGAATGGGTCATGATGAATGTCGGCTGGCCGCGAGAGGGATCTTTTAACCTCTCTCTTATTTCGCAGGTGGAGGGTAAGGTTTTCGCCCCTAGCCCTTATGGGCATCCCGACCAGGTCCCATATATCACCATCTGGAGATCACTGGTCGAGAACCCATTTCCATGGGTTAAGCCTTTCCTTCCGCAGCCCCCTCCAGTCTCTGGGCCTTCTGCGCCCCCCAACCCAGACTCCTCCCTTTACCCCGTGCTCCCTCACAAGGAGACTCCTAAGCCTCCAGTCCTTCCCCCAGACCCCAATACTCCCCTTATAGATCTCCTGATGGAGGACCCACCACCATATCGAGCCGGACCACCTGGAGAGCCGGCCAAAGCGGCCCCAGCCGCCGCCCCGGTGGCGGCGTCCCCGGCCGTGCCCGTGGCAGATCCGGAAGTCACCTCGACTCGCAGGACCCACGGGACTGAAGAAGAGGACGCAGCCCCGTCCCCCATTGCCGGCCGCCTCCGCGGCCGCCGGGATGGCCCCCCTATTGAGTCCAGGGCCTTCCCGCTTAGAGAGGGGCCGAATCGCCAGTTGCAGTACTGGCCCTTTTCAGCCTCAGACCTCTATAATTGGAAACAACATAATCCCCCTTTCTCCAGGGATCCTGTTGCCTTAACCGGCCTAATTGAGTCCATCCTAGTGACTCACAGGCCGACTTGGGACGACTGTCAGCAGCTCCTGCAGACCCTCTTAACAGTAGAGGAGAAGCAGAGAGTTTTCCTGGAGGCCCGGAAGCAGGTTCTGGGCGACGATGGGAGGCCAACCCAACTCCCAAATATCATCGATGCAGTTTTTCCCTTGACCCGCCCAGACTGGGACTTCAATACACCTGAAGGTAGGGAGCATCTACGTCTCTATCGCCAGTTGCTCTTAGCGGGTCTCCGAGCGGCCGCCAGAAGGCCTACCAATTTGGCCCAGGTAAGGAATGTGATACAGGGAAAGGAAGAAACACCCGCTGCATTTTTAGAGAGGCTGAAGGAGGCTTATAGGATGTACACTCCGTATGATCCAGAAGACCCAGGGCAAGCACCAGGTGTCATCCTATCATTTATCTATCAGTCTAGCTCAGATATCAGAACCAAATTGCAGCGGCTGGAAGGTTTACAGGCGCTAGGTTTGCCAGACTTATTGAAGGAAGCAGAGAAAGTGTTCAATAAGAGAGAAACTCCTGAGGAGCGTGAGGAAAGGAGATGGCAGAAACAAGAGGAAAGGGACAAGAAACAGCATAGGGAGATAAAAAAGGTTTTGGCCGCCGTTGTGTCTCAGGGACAGCGGAGAGAGGGAGATAGGTCGGGAGAGCGAAGGAGGCCACCCCTTGATAAAGATCAATGTGCTTACTGCAAGGAGAAGGGACACTGGGCCCGAGAGTGCCCCAAGAAGCCACAAGGACCCCGCCGGCCCAAGCCCAAGACTGTAGACCTCCTTAGTCTGGAAGACTAGGGGAGTCGAGGCCAGGAGCCCCCCCCTGAGCCTAGGATAACCCTCAAGATCGGGGGGCAGCCCGTGACCTTCCTGGTTGATACTGGTGCCGAACATTCAGTCCTAACCCATGCCGGAGTGCCTCTTAGCCGGCATTCTGCACTGGTGCAGGGGGCAACTGGAAACAAGAGGTATTATTGGACTGCCGAGAGAAAAGTCCAACTGGCATCAGGGCAAGTAACTCACTCCTTTCTGCACATACCTGAATGCCCCCATCCGCTGTTAGGACGGGACCTATTAACCAAATTGAAGGCACAAATCTATTTTGATGAGAAGGGACCGAGGGTCACGGGTCCTAAAGGAGACTCTCTACAAATCCTTGCCCTCAGTTTAGAAGAAGAATACCGTTTGTTTGAACCAGAACCCCCGGAGAAATCTCCTGAGGAACTACAGAACTGGCTGAGAGAGTTTCCTCAGGCCTGGGCAGAGACTGGGGGCTTGGGGCTGGCACACGATCAGCCACCGCTGGTGATCTCACTAAAGGCCTCCGCAACTCCCGTTTCAATTAGACAATACCCAATGTCACGGGAAGCTCATGAGGGGATCAAGCCCCATATTCGAAGGCTCCTAGACCAAGGGGTGCTAAAGCCCTGCCAGTCCCCTTGGAACACCCCTCTCTTGCCTGTTAAGAAACCGGGGACAGGGGACTACAGGCCGGTCCAGGACTTGAGAGAGGTCAATAAGCGGGTGGAGGACATACACCCCATGGTGCCCAACCCCTATAACCTTCTGAGCACCCTCCCACCGACCCACGTCTGGTACACTGTGCTAGACCTGAAGGATGCCTTCTTTTGTTTGAGACTGCACCCTCAAAGTCAAATGCTATTCGCTTTTGAATGGAGGGACCCAGAAAAAGGGCTTTCGGGACAGTTAACCTGGACCCGGCTCCCTCAGGGCTTCAAAAATAGCCCAACCCTCTTTGATGAGGCCCTACATGCAGATCTGGCCGGATTCCGGGTCGAACACCCAACCCTGACTCTGCTCCAGTACGTGGATGATCTACTCCTGGCGGCCAGGAGTCGAACCGAGTGCCTGGAGGGCACTCGAGCCTTATTGGCCAGACTTGGACAAAAGGGCTATAGAGCCTCAGCCAGAAAGGCTCAAATATGCCGAGACAAGGTTACCTACCTGGGCTACACCCTGAGCGGGGGGCAAAGATGGTTAACAAGAGCGAGGAAGGAGACGATAATCTCCATCCCCCCTCCTCGGAACCCCCGCCAAGTTCGAGAGCTCCTGGGTACGGCTGGGTACTGCCGCCTTTGGATTCCTGGCTTTGCCGAACTGGCAGCCCCATTGTACCCCCTCACTAAACCAGGGGCCATGTTCCAATGGGAGGAGAAGCATCAGAAAGCGTTCCAACAGATCAAGAAGGCCTTACTCGAGGCCCCGGCTCTGGGTCTGCCAGATCTAACCAAGCCCTTTGAGCTGTTTGTGGATGAGAACTCAGGTTTTGCCAAAGGGGTACTGGTGCAAAGACTGGGACCTTGGAGGAGACCTGTAGCGTACTTGTCCAAGAAATTGGACCCGGTGGCTACAGGATGGCCATCATGCCTCCGCATGGTGGCAGCCATCGCCGTATTACTTAAGGATGCCGGGAAGCTGACTCTGGGACAGCCGTTGACTGTGCTGGCCTCCCATGCAGTGGAGGCCTTGGTCCGACAACCACCGGACAGATGGCTTTCTAACGCCAGAATGACTTACTATCAGGCCTTACTGCTGGACTCAGACCGGGTAAATTTTGGGCCGACAGTTTCCCTTAACCCTGCTACCTTGCTGCCACTGCCTAGCCCCTCCGAGGAGCATGACTGCCTCCAGATTCTAGCCGAAGCACATGGCACCCGCCCTGATCTGACAGATCAGCCGCTTAAGAATCCAGACGCTGTCTGGTACACAGATGGGAGCAGTTTCCTGGAGGAGGGGAAACGCAGAGCCGGGGCAGCTATAACCACCGAATCGGAAGTGGTATGGGCATCGTCACTCCCGCCCGGGACATCGGCCCAGCGCGCAGAACTGATTGCGCTCACCCAAGCTCTCCGGATGGCAGAAGGTAAGAAGCTCACAGTTTATACTGACAGCAGATATGCCTTTGCCACTGCGCATGTCCACGGGGAAATCTACAGACGGAGAGGCCTGCTGACGTCCGCGGGTAAGGAAATCAAAAACAAAAAAGAGATCCTAGACCTCCTAAAGGCCCTGTTCCTCCCGCTCCAACTCAGTATTGTCCACTGCCCAGGGCATCAAAAGGATGACTCTGCGGTAGCCAGAGGGAATCGGCTGGCGGATCTGACTGCCCGAACAGTGGCTTCCCAGCCAGCAGGGAGCAGCCAGTTGATGGCCATACGAGAACCACAGCCTGAGAGAGACCCCGTGCCCTATAGCCCAGAAGACCATGAGCTAGCAAAGAAAATGGGGGCGGACTGGGAACAAGGAAGACAGGCATATATACTAGGGGACCGGATGGTCATGCCAACCTCCCATACCCGATACATGCTAAGATTCCTCCATGCTTTGACCCATTTGAGCAAAAACAAGATGAAGACCCTATTGGACAGAGAAAACACCTGGACAGTGCTGCTGAACCAGGATCAGGTACTTCAGCAGGTAACTTCTACCTGCCCAGCCTGTGCTCAAGTCAACGCAGGAAAGGTTCATCTAAACAAGGGGGCCCGCCAAAGAGGCCATCGTCCTGGTGTTCATTGGGAAATAGACTTTACAGAAGTAAAACCCGGACTCTACGGGTACCGGTACCTCCTGGTCTTCGTGGACACTTTTTCTGGATGGATCGAGGCATTTCCAACCAAGAATGAGACGGCTAACGTGGCAACAAAGAAACTGTTGGAAGAAATCTTCCCCAGGTATGGGATGCCTCAAATATTGGGGTTGGATAACGGGCCTGCCTTCGTCTCTCAGGTAAGTCAGAAGGTGGCCAAACTATTGGGGGTTGATTGGAAACTCCATTGTGCATACCGCCCCCAGAGCTCAGGACAGGTAGAACGAGCTAATAGAACAATCAAGGAGACTTTAACCAAATTAACGCTTGCAACTGGCACTAGAGATTGGGTGCTCCTACTTCCCTTGGCTCTCTACCGAGCCCGAAATACTCCTGGCCCACACGGCCTAACCCCTTTTGAGATCATGTATGGGGCCCCACCTCCTGTTGTAGACTTTCTCCATCCTGATATTTCCTCCTTTGCTACCACCCCTACTTTAGAGGCACATCTTCAAGCCCTCCAACTGGTGCAGAGGGAGATCTGGAAGCCCCTGGCCAAGGCCTACCAGGAGCAGCTAGACAAGCCGGTGGTGCCCCACCCCTTCCAGATCGGGGACTCCGTTTGGGTCCGACGACACCAGACCAAGAATCTGGAACCACGGTGGAAGGGGCCCTACACTGTCTTGCTGACCACCCCCACTGCACTCAAGGTCGACGGGATTGCTGCATGGATCCACGCCTCGCATGTGAAGGCTGCCAGGGAACCCGACCCAGCAGGATCCAGAAAGTCAACATGGACAGTGCGCCGCACACGAAACCCCCTAAAAATAAGGTTGGCCCGCGGCTCCTCTTCCTCCCCCTCCTCTTAATCTCTGCCTACCCCCAGGGGACTAGGGCGGCAGAGAGCCCGCACCTAGTTAAGAGGCTCACTTGGCAGGTTATCTCACAAACTGGGGAGATGGTCTGGCAAACGACCGCCCTTCACACCCCCTTCACATGGTGGCCCAACTTGCATCCAGATCTCTGCCAACTAGTAGCAGGGTCAGGGGACTGGGACATCCCTACCACTGACCCCATGAACCCCAGAGCACCAGACGTCTGTCAGGATGGTAAGGGAACTTGCAAATGTAGTGACGGGAGATATGGATGTGGTCACCCTGAAACCAGAGCAGCCCTGTCACAACTATCCTTTTACGTCTGCCCCCGGGATGGTAGGGACAGAAAGATGATTAGACAATGTGGGGGTTATGAAAGTTACTTCTGTAAAGCATGGGGATGTGAAACAACTGGTAATACCTATTGGGAGCCTTCATCCACTTGGGACCTCATTAGGGTAAAAAGGGCTACCCAAAGAGAAAGCCACTCATGGCGTCCTCTTACTCAAGGACGTTGTTGGGGAACTGTCACGCCAGGAAGAGATAACACTTACTGGAAAGGGGGGGGGCCCTGTGTAAATTTCACCTGCAACCCCCTGAATATATCTTTTACTCAAAAGGGAAGGGAGATAACACAAGACTGGATTAAAGGTAGAACATGGGGACTTAGACTTTACATGACGGGATGGGACCAGGGAGTCGTGTTTACGATTAGGCTTAAAATCACAGAGCCCTCCGCCTCTATAGGTCCCAACCAGGTTCTCTCTGACCAAAAGCGCCCCTTTTTACCCGCTCCGGCACCCCCGAGGGCTACCCCCCGACCCAATTCGGCCATTCGCCCAAGCACGGCTCCGAATGCCACTATAACCCCAGTCACCCTCCAGCCACCCAGGCCCGGTACGGGAGACCGGCTATTGAATCTTATAGAGGGCGCTTACTCAGCCCTCAATGTTACCAACCCAAATCAGACTCAGGAATGCTGGTTATGCCTAGTCTCCACACCCCCCTATTATGAGGGGGTGGCCGTAGTCGGAAGCTTCACCAATTCTTCTTCACCCCCGTCAGGATGTGCCTCGACACCTCAGCATAAGCTCACAATCTCCGAGGTGTCAGGACAAGGACTATGTCTGGGGATAGTACCCTACACCCACCAACACCTGTGTAACCGCACCCAGGCACTTGTTCCAGGACCCCACTATCTCGTGGCTCCCAACGGGACTTATTGGGCCTGTAGCACTGGACTTACACCATGCCTCTCCTCCTCAATACTAGCCAACACGGCCGATTATTGTGTGCTCATAGAACTGTACCCCAAGATAGTCTACCGTGCACCTGAAGATATCTATGCCCGATATGAGACAGGGGTCCCCCGTATAAAAAGGGAGCCAGTCTCGCTAACCCTGGCCCTGATACTAGGTGGGTTAACTATGGGAGGAGTCGCTGCCGGAATAGGCACAGGTACCACTGCCCTCATGGAAACCAACCAGTTCAGACAACTCCAGGTTGCCATGCATACCGATATCCAGGCACTGGAGGAGTCCGTGAGTGCCTTGGAAAAGTCACTCACCTCCCTGTCTGAAGTAGTTCTGCAGAACCGGAGGGGATTAGACCTCCTCTTCCTGCAGGAGGGGGGGTTATGTGCCGCCCTTAAAGAAGAATGTTGCTTCTATGCGGATCATACTGGGGTGGTGAGAGATAGCATGGCTAGATTAAGAAAAAGATTAGAGCAAAGACAAAAACTCTTTGAAGAACAGCAGGGATGGTTTGAAGGATGGTTCAGAAGGTCCCCCTGGCTCACCACCCTCATCTCCACCCTTATAGGACCCCTTCTGATTTTATTGCTCCTTCTGACGCTCGGGCCCTGTATCCTAAACAGACTTGTCCAATTTATCAGGGAACGCGTTTCTACTATTCAGACCTTGGTATTGACCCAACAATACCAACGACTCAACCAGGTGGAAATGGAGCCACATCCCTATTCTTCCCCATGAATGGAGGATTCCATTCCCTGAGATAAGAAAATGGGGGAATGAAGGGCCCCAGCATACTTGCTTAGCCTAACGCCATTTTTGAGCAGGGCCTGAAAAGTAACTAGAGGTCAGAAAAACAACTTGTACCCTGGATGAGAGCCAAGTCAGCAGGCGTGTCGAGCTCGGGGAAAAACCACGAGCTGTCCTGAGTTTGAACCTGGCCTCATACGAATCGTCCAATCAGAACCCTGTAAACTATGCTTCCTGCTTCTGTACCCGCCCTTCCGCTGCCCAACCCTATAAAAACCCTCCACTCCAGCCCGTGGGCGCGCCAGTCTCTTCAGCCTCTGGAGGGACTGTATCGCCCCGGGTACCCGTGTTCCTGAATAAAGCCTCTTGCTGTTTGCATCTGACTTGTGGTCTCGGTGTGATCTCTGGGCGAGGGTCTCTCCAGAGGGAAGACTCCAGTCGGGGGTCTTTCATTGTGACACCTAGAATTAAGAGGCAATGCAGAACTCTTGCTCATACATTTAAAATATCAAGATAAGATAGGCAACTGTCCAGCAATTGAGAGGACCTAAGTTCAATACAGTGTAAAACACACTCATGCATGCATGCGTGCACACACACACACACACACACACACACACACACACACACACACACAAACACACACACACAAATATAATCATGGCAACATCAACACATTAAAGCAAGTGTAGAACCTTTACAAGTTTAGTATTCTGAGAAACTACATAAAGCCAGACCTGCTCACATCTTTATCTTTTAAATATTTTTATTAATACTTTGAAAATTTAATTCAAGGTGCTTTATCATATACACTCCAAACTCCTTCCCTTAATTCTCCCCAGATCCAGTCCCACCTCCCCATACTTCATACTTCCTGTCTTCTATTCTATTTAATAGCCCATTAACTCCAATCAAGTGAAGTTCTCCAGGCCTACTTATTCTAAAATATTGGCATATATTCAATGAATAAAGTGATTAGTTTCATAAATGCAAACATGTAGCATTTCACTATATTCACCCCTATCTTCTGTCATTTGTCAACCCTTCCAATAAATCATTAAAATATGTATGCATGTGTATGTATGCATGTATGTATGCACACAAAATCTAGGTTCTGAAAATTAGAGAAAACATGTGATATTGGTTTATCTAAGGGTTATTTCATTTAATATGATGATGATTGTAGCTGAAGTTTCCTGTGTCCCAGCCTGCGGGTGATTGGGACAAATCTCTCCCATTCGCATCCCCCAAGTAAACACACAACACAAAGGCTTATATTAATTAAAACTGCTCAGCCATTAGCTCAAGCTTACTACTAAATAGCTCTTACACTTAAACTCAGCACACTTCTGTTAATCTATATATGTCGCCATGTTTTCCCTAGCTTTACCTGTGTGCCATAACATGCTGCTCCCTGGACTGCGGGCTGGCATCTCCTGACTCAGCCTTCCTCTTCTCAGAATTCTCCTTATCTGCTTATCCTGCCTATACTTCCTGCCTGGCTACTGGCCAATCAGCATTTTATTTATCATCCAATCAGAGCAACACATATTCACAGCATACAGAATGACATCACCCATCAGATGATCTTCAGTTTTATCCATATTACTGAAATGATATAATTTTATTCATTACTGCTGAATAAAACATTGTTGTTTATATGTATCATATTGTCTTTATCTCTGCTAATGAGAACCTATGCTGATTCTTTTATGAACTAGATTTTGCCTCAGAGCAACTCTCTGCTCTTCCACCACCGTCCTTCCATTTCCACCTTCAAAACTCATTTTCACCAGTCCTAAATAGAACACTCTATAAATTCAGACATACTTCTTTTTGCCTTAGAACATAAATATGATTTTTATTACACTCATATGCTGAGAATCAAAATTATCAAATATTATTATCAAACACTTTCCGATAAACTAGCTAATTATAATTCACGTTAACTTAGAATTTCAGTTTTAATTGCAAGTGTTTTGCTAACTATACTTCATGCTGAAGATTTTAAATTAATTTTACATCCCGACTGCAGCCTCCCCTCCTTCCTCTCCTCCTACTCTCTCTCCCCACCTCCCTTCTACCACCCACTCAATCCACCCTCCTCCGATATACTCCCTCAGAAAGGGGCAGGCCTCCCATGGGCATCATCAAAGCATGGTATATCAAGCTGCCATAAGACCAAGCACATCCCCCTGTATTCAGACTGGACAAAGCAATCCAGCATGAGAAATAACTTCCCAAGAGCCAATCAAAGCACCAGTGACAGCCTCTGCTCCCGTTGCTGGGAATCCCACAAATAGACCAAGCTACACAGTTGTCATACGTATGTAGAGGGCCTAAGTTGGCCCCATGAAGGCTCCCTGGTTATTGGTTCACTTGCTACCACAACACAGACTAACCTTAAAATATCTCAGAGACTACTGAGTACAGTAAGTAAAAATTCATCTGTTCGATCTTCACCAGCCCCACTTGAATCTGTTTTGTTTTGGGAGTTTCTATGTAAGTCTTCCTCTTGGATAAAATAAATAGTATCACTGTAAAAGAAAGTTTACAAACAAATAATTATTTACCTTGATTATACCATTATCCAGGAAGCAGAGACACAGGATAGAAGAGAGTCCCCTTCTGGGTCACAATTCCAATAGCCTTTATCTCTTCAAAGTTCCAACAACTCCCAATAGTTACCACCACAGGGACCATGTCATCCACATGGAGACCTTTTAAGGGCATTCAACTTCCAAACTAAAGTAAATAGGTGAAATGTTATTAAGTGCCTATAGCATTTTAGATAAAATGTGAAAAAAAAAAACCACGCTGTAGTGCTTAACTTCCACAACATACTCCTGAATAATATTTTCATTTCTTACATTAAAACACTGAGGAAGTAAATAAGCACACAGAAAAATCCACCCAATAAATAGCAGAACAGCACCTTGAGCCCTGGCCAGGGCATGACACATCCAGTTCCCCACCCATGTTAAACTATAAATCTGCAAGCATTTTGCCACATAATTCACTAGGTGGTTGGGGTCATAGTCTTGGCCACAAGCTCATCTCTTTGCCTTATGGAGTCAACAGAATGTTAGGGAAGATGTGGACTGGAATAGGCAGAAGCTGGGTTTATAATCACTCAGGCAAGAATTAAACCTTGTATGGTCATGGAGACCTAAGTAATGAACCTAAAGACACTGGATTTCCTTTTCCTGTGACAAGTGAGTAGTTCATGGTCTCAGCTTTGAAGAACTACAATTGCATCTGCAGTTTTCAGGATCAAAAGTTCTTCACATGTTTTATACAGAAAGGGACAAAATTATTTCCACATAATGGACTCCATCAGTTCCAGCTGATGTCTGTGAGATGAATGCATCCTAAGTAGCCTTTTATGATGTATAGCATTTTTGCATATGTAATGGTACCTAGCACTTCCATACTGGATGGAAAGTTTAGAACGAAAATACAAAGCTCCTTAGCACCTTCAGAAAACGTAGTATGTAAATAGAAAGGCACTGAAACACAAATCAGACACTGTAATAAACAACTGTGGATTTATGAGATTTAAAGATATATTTTGTGTGTCAACAAGAATGAAGAAACCGATTCCAATGTCAACAGAGTCTGTGCTGAAGCTGATGGATTTAAATATATAATATATACCTAACTTCCTACTGGTAATATGCACATTTTTTTCACAAAAATAGAGATAAACTGTTTTTCTAAAATATTTTTAGATTAAATAGTCAAGATTAAATTCAAAGTAATGTGGTCTTATCTCAAGTGGAAGAATAAATATTTTGGACATGTTCACATATATCTGAGACAGTATGTTATAAAGCTGTTTCTGAGTCCAATCACCATCATTCATGTGACTTCTAATTCCATCAAAACAAAAAAATTGTACCTTTCCCAAACTCTTATCCTTTTATTTCCAAATGAAAAGACTGTCAATAAAACATAGCCTCTTTCGTCTTAATGCCAACAACTGCACTTCTCAAATTTGTCCCATATGAACTCTGATTACAGTGAGTGTTGTTACACCACGTATTTTCACTGTAGGAAAAGCTACTAGTTTTACCCAAAGTGTACCCCTCAAGCTGATTATAATATAGTTGAGAAGCAACAGTAAAGAGTTTAATATGCCAAATGATCTTGTGCGGATCCTCACTGTTGGGCAATAATTCCATAATATATGTCTTTTCCTCATAGGGAAGTGGTTATATATGGACAATTTAAAAGTGAGGTGAGTCCATTCCTTGTTAGATGAACAGGCTGTGGCAAGATACATTAGGGTCCAAAAGGTTTAAAGGTTCATACTTCAGATGACAGGAAGAACTTGATTTCTGTTTAATACCAGCAAAGCTTCTGTCGAAGTTTGTAAAATGTTCCCATGTAACCAGTTCTTTGGTACTGAAGCAAAGAAGAAAGTGCTGTGTTAGAAGCCCTGACATCTTCTTCTTTTTCAAATAATGTATTTTGATCAAGTTTTTCCCTCCCTCAACTCCTGCCACCCCCTATTCACCCAACTTTATATCCTTTCACTCTTTCAAAACCAAAAACAAAAATACCACAAAAACAAATAAGCAGAACACCAAAACGACAAAAAATGACAAAAAAAAGAAAAGGCACATACAGAAACACAAACAGATAAATAAACTACAGATAGATAGATAGATAGATAGATAGATAGATAGATAGATAGACAGACAGACAGCATTGAATTTGTTGGCCAACTATTCCTGGGCACAGGGACTGCCCTGCAGAATGGTTGATATACCCAGTAACACTCCATTGGAGAACACTGATTTTCCCTTTGCCAGTAAGCATAAATTGAAAATATCTTATTGGATATGGGTGGGCCCCATGTATACTTACCCCCTTAGTGCTGGGACCCCAACTGGCTTGAATATAAGCAAGTCTTGTGCATGCTAACAGTCTCTGTCAGTCCATACATGCATTAGTCCTTTTGTGTTTGGAAGATGCTTTCCTTGGGGTCATCTATCACTTTGACTCTTACTTTCAGTATCCTCTTCCATATAGCTTCCTAAGCCTTGATGGAAAGGGTTTGATGAAGACATACCATTTATGAATTAGTGCTCCAAAGTCTCTCACTCTCTGCACATTTTGCAGTTGTGGTTTTCTGTGTTAATTGCCATTTACTGCAAAAAGAAGTTTCTCTGATGTGGACTGAGTGAGGTACTTATCTATGAGTGTAGCAGTATATCATTTCTATGTTCCTTTAGCAGAATAATAGTAGTAGGATTTCCCTTAGGCCCATGGATACCTAATCTCAGGTTTTTGGCCATTTTGGCACTGTCTCATGTATGTTCTATGTCATGGATTAATCCTTAAATTCACTTAAAAAGTGATTGGTTATTGCCATAGC